CCCCATAGGTTTTTAACGTTCTAAAAGCTCTTTATTCCAAAGATACTACAAGCTAGTCCGTGTATTCAGCAGGTGTAATGTATTGTACGTTGCTTCAGAAGTGCAAGTATTACGTACAACAATAAAACAGTGCATTGACATAAGAAAGGAAATTTACTTTTGGTACTTAAGTACTTTTAAAAGCAAGTACTTCTGTACTTTTACTTGAGTAAAAATCTGTCTTTACAACTTTTACTTGTAATGGAGTAATATTTGACCAGCAGTATCTGTACTTTCACTCAAGTAATGGAGTTGAGTACTTTGTCCGCCTCTGATTAACTCTCAGATTTACACAGACTGTTTTATATACCACCTTAACATAAAATCACATCCTAATGATCATTATTGTTCCACAAATTACTGACCTGTAATGCTCATTGAATGATTCTCACCAGTAATTTAAACACAAGAACGTTTGTTCTATTTAGAGATTTTATAGGTCCATAAATGTTTAATATTTTGCTTGCATATTCTTGATGTTGCTCTTTTTCTGTTTAGCCAAAAATGAAGCGTAATGGCCTTTTAATTGCCCTGAAGTTTATAGTCTGTCAGAGGATATTGCTTGGGAGTTTCGGCACAGTATATCAATAATTTTATGCTGAAAAGTTTCCAGTATCGCCTAATAATCTACTTGTATTCCCCTATATAAACATAATGATGAATGTGTGCCATGTAAACTGTGAGCCGGGTTTGTAAATGGGTTTCCACATGACCCACAATACATTGCTGTCAGCTCATTTCCCTGCGAGTGTAATTTCAGCAGGGATCCAGCTCCAATCTGTTTATTTCTAATTTTACCGTATACATAGAATAACAGTGACTGGGAGAATATTTGCCTCGCACGCAGCCCCAATAACTGGAGAAGATGAATGCGTGGCATAGTACTTTCATACCTGCGAGTCTGTGTGTGCGTTCATTGCAACGCCCCAGTTTAGCTGCCTCCTCTCCTCTGCCGTTGATGGTATCTTATTGTTACCAGGTGGCTGCCAGTGACAGGAGCATTGAAAAACTGCTGACAATAAGCCATGGCTCATAGGAAAACGTGAAAAAGGAGGACACGCGAGCAGTGTGGTTCTTCCTCACAAAGGCGTAGGGGGTGTTAGAAGGGAAAGGAACGAGATCCCCGGGGAAACGTTCCAGCGAGTTCCTGTGCTTTAGATGATGGTTCATAAACTACCATCACCCTCGAGGGCCTGGGGAGCCGAAGCTGAAATACTTCAGAAGTGCCAATAAATGAAAAAGTGAGAATTAGAGGAAAGTTTGGCGAGCCGAGGGGTGTAATGGAGACCAATGGACCATGGGAAAGAAACCCCACTGAGGAAGAAGTGAGGTCTCGTGTGAAAGATCTCTGTCATTCACACTGAGAGGGTTTGTGTGCCGTCGTACTAAGCAGCTGTGGAAAATGAGCACTCATTGATTTCATGCATATGGCACCCACGCATGTAAACACACACACACACACACACACTGAAGACTCCATCTCTACAACGCAGCCATGCTAGCGTAACAAAGCCACAGGGAATAAAGCGTTCTTTTCCGTTCTAATTTAAGAATTTCTCTCATTTAATGCCGTGTATTACACACGATTGCACACATCAAATGATTATCTCTGCATCACGACACCAAGACCATTTTTCCCCAAGAAACTGAGAAGAGTTCTCTTTAGCGCAGATGTGACAAAGAACATCCAGCAACATGAGATTTCAGTGTAATACAGGAAGGCTACAGATGGACTGCAGTGTGTCTGGTGAACATGCGGTTACTTAAGCAAAATCCTGCAGGCGTGCAGCGTGAATATCATATTTTAGGATATAGGCACGGATCTGTTTATTACTGTACTGCCTCCTTTAATTGAGATTAATGCAGTTCAGTGGGCATAACAGGAAAAATGCCAACATTATAATCCGATCCCGGGTGCCAGGTGTCGAGTTTTCAATCGCAGTGTAATAGAAAACGTTTGCTTCTGCGTACAACTACTATCTGATGTGGTCTTAACCTACTTGCAACACATTAAAAATAGATTCCTTTTCTACTTGAATTAGTTGGTTATGTAGACAGATTTACTGCTAATCCCCAAGGGACAAGCAGCTGGTTCCCTCCTTTTTTTCTAACACAATTGTGCCCTCTAGTGAAACTGTCTTGTATGGTCCATACAGAGGTTCTCAACTCTGGCCCTCCTGCAGAGTTTAGCTCCACCAACCGTAATCAAACACACCTGAACAAGCAAATCAAGGTCTTCAGGATTACTAGAAAGTTACAGGCAGTGAGTTTGATCAAAGTTGGAGCTAAACTCTGCAGGAAAGTGGACCACGAGGGCCACAGTTGAGAAGCCCTGCATGGTCTAGCATAATGTTATCTGATGTCAAACCAGTTGCTGTTACAAATGGTACAGATCATCCTTTTACAACTAAATGTGTTATTTATATTAATTTAAATGAATAATAATTTTTTTAAATAAAAACATTAATAGAGCTTAAAGGATATTGTTCACTTCCAGAATGTAAATTCTGTCATCATTTACTCACCCTCCACTTGTTCCAAACCTGTATGAGTGTCTTTCTTCTGTTGAACACAAAAGATGATATTTTGAAAAATGTTGATATCCAAAGAGTTGATGGGCACCATTCCATAGTATTTATTGTTCTACTATGGAAGTCAATGGTGCCCATCAACTGTTCGGATCCTAAATTTTTTTTTTAACATTCAAAGAAACTCACAGGTTTGGAACAAGTGGAGGGGGAGTAAATGATGACAGAATTTTCATTCTGGAAGTGAACTTATCCTTTAATAATGTGAGTCATATTATATATATAGCCTACAGGCCTCAATTAATAATCTACAAAACCCGTACAAAGATTAAAAAAACTCATCTACTAAGAGTAAATTCATTTTTACTTATATAGAAAAGCACAAATAGGGCGATTTCTGACTCTTGTTTGAGTTGATGAACCATGGTTGGCCAGGCTTTTTTTTTTTTTAGTTAATTAAAAAATTGTAGTATTTTTCTTATGCACCGAACACTATAATGATGTGAAAATACTCGATACTTACAAAACTTGCATGTTGGGTCTCAAGATGATGTGAACCCGTAAACGTTGATATTAAGATAATGGTTGTCAGCAACTTGAGCACTAAACACGACCAGTGTATCTCATTGTATCTGACTCGTACTGTTTTAAGGTTCTGCGCAAGTTTTGCGCAGAGCGGATGCGCATGAACACACATCAGCGGTCTTATTATCATCACTGAGGAGCCGTGAAAACATTATTGTGTTCATCTGTGTCGAGCAAATTCTAACGTTTCCGATCAATTTGAGTCAATAAACGAACAATGAGTGATCATCCGGTGACTAGCAGATGAGCCAAATCTGATCGTCGCTGAAAGAAAGAGGCGAAGTATCGGCTATTTTGTCAGGTGAGTGAACTGAAAGACATTCAGGCAAGACGCAGCAAAATCACCAAAAATATAAATATTTATTCAAGAAATCCAACTGATGGTGTTAATATGTCGTTTCACGTTTGTCGTTTATAATTCGATCATTTGAAAGGGTTTAGGCACTGCGTTTTAATGTGAAATAAGGCTGTTCTTGCTGTGTTTTGGTCAGGGGTGTTGCCCTGTCTACAGGCCTCAATCTGATCGATCAATGATCTGATCTCAACATCAGCACATACAAAGCCTCAAAAATCCCATTCATTAAGTGTGTGTAGTTAGATAATTTATTAATATGATGCCTACAAGTGTAAATAGGTAGATTTTTGTAATTGTTGTTTGAGTTGTTGAGGAATTTGGGCCTGTAATGCAATATAAAACACACCAGTTTAGCTGCTGAATGTAACAAAGTTTATTTAATCTAAATATGTAAATTTATTAGTAGAATATAGTTTAATATATTGTTTAATAAAAAAATAATTCGATTTTCAGTCTTTCTGACCCTTTTTGCTTTTGTTGATGTAACATTTTAATTATTTAATTTAATTATTTAAAATGATTTAATTTTATTATTTTGTTGGTTTAAACATTTTAAAAAACATTTTAGTGTAATGTTTGTTAAATATGCACATGTAACATTCTTTATGGCTAATATTTAAATATTTGTATAAATTTATACAAATTATTTTACAAATATCACTTTTTTTCAATCTGTATTATTTCTTTTTGTAAATACATTTAAAATTCATAAAAAATTTATTTAAGTATGTATTTTAAATGTAAATTGTTAAATATTAATGTTTAATTGTATTATTTAAAACTATTATTGTAATTATATGATGGTTCCAACTGAACCAGTCAGACGTTTTAGGTTAACTTTTGTTAACAAATATAGGCTAACTGATCCTTTATGGCTGGTATTCCTATAAATGTTTGCAAAGAAATATTATATTTTATTATTGTTATGTGTTATTTATTATTTTGTCTATGTTTAACCTAAACTAACATAACATAGTAGTAACGTCTGATATTCTAGTATATTCTGTACCAACATCATAAAATGTCCCGTAAATGGTTAGGCTGTAAAGGATTTGGGTCATGGTATATTTAGATAATTTCTGCGTCTGATTTGGGCCGGTTGCCATTATGAATATGCACAGGCTGTCCTATCAAGCCAGATAGTTATGTAGGAGTCAGTTTTATAGATATGTGATGGTAAACAAAGATTTTAATTGTAGACAACATATTCCTCTCATTCGTTGTGCTTCTGGTCTCACTTTGAATGTGCTTTCAAATATTAACAGCTCTTTTTGTTTTATGTGTTACACAAGGCTTTGGTTTTATATTGACAGATAATACATCAGTGTTTCTCAACCCTGGTCCTGGGCGCCCCCCAGAACTGCACATTTTGTGTGTCTCCCTAATCAAACACACCTGATTCAACTCATTAGCTCATTCAAAGAAACTCCAGGACCTGAAATG